GTGTATGAGGAGAGAAATCTGGCCATTTCCTCAGCATAAGTATTTAAACTATAAGTAAATTGAATACATTTTCTCCAAGCCAAGAAGGAAACCTATACCTAATTATTTTGGAGGTCATGCTGTGGTCATGCTGCTTCAGAGAAAAGAAACAAACAAGGGTTTTTTGTTTCTCAGTGCAAAACACATCAGTTGCTCTAGGAAAGTGACTAAGTAGAGGAAGAGAAGAAATAAAGCAAAAAATGATAAAGTTGATCATGAAACCCACAACCCTCCCAAAAAAGTTCTTGAGACATCAGCAAGGTGACCTCTGCTTCCAAAACACTGATATATGATGACTGTACAAATCTCTTATGTACTCCCCTATGGACATCAATACTTTGCCAAACTGCAGTTTTTTTAATACCCCATCTGTTTATGACACGGTTCTTTCTACACCAAAAAAAAATCCATATTTTTACCCAATGGAGTGCCCCTTATTCCCTGTGGCAGCTGAATCCCTTTTGCTCTGGAGGCTTACAATACAGCTTTAAATCATCTTCCGACTGATGCTTCTAAATCTCACCACTACATCTAGGGTAGAAAGAAACTAAAAGAGCAGATTATTTTTTCAAGGCTGTGTTGTCTGAAAATATACTTTAGTTATCCTCACGTCTCAGTTCTGGAGGAAAGAGCATTTTTTCCTTGAAATCTGTGGGAAAACTTGTATTTGTTCCATGACTGAAGTCAGAAGAAATTCATACCAGTATTTTATTTTTAGCAATATCATTGTCAGGAATTTTCTTACCAATATTCCTAAAGATAGCAAAATGCCATTTTGATGAATAAGAAAAAGAGAAATGTTGTAATAATCACCAGCTCAAAAAAAAAGTTTAGTATGCATCAGTCTATTATGTGTCTAGTATGCAAGTCTATTCAAATTTGTGGTTGCACAAGTACTGAACTGCAAAATGTGTCATATTTGTTCTTTTAAGTGAAATGGCTGAAGATGGAGAAATAATTCTATTTTATCCATCTCAGTTGTATTCAAACTTGCTGCTTCACTCTTTAAAATGCTGACTTTTAAACTTAATTGTTATTCATCTCCCAAATGTCAGAACTTCAGCTATCTTCAAAATAAACTCTAATCAAATCTTTGGTATACAACTAGAGGGTTGTTCCACATCCAGAATATTCTGAACAACAAACTCTGAAGACCTCCATCTAAACCACAATGGGACCAGATTGCTGACATGTAAGATGAAAAAGGCAGTAAAGACTATTTTAAACTAAAGCCAGGAAGAAAGATGACAGGGGAAGGTCAATACATGGTTCAGACAGACATCCCTTGGGATTAAGTTGCTGAAGGGGGAACTCAGTAGCCCAGTAAAGACAGAAAATAAGTTGGCAAAGTACACATAGGAGGTACAGAGGAACAATCAACTGTAAAATAAGTCCTATTTAAATTGAACACATGAAAGCAAGCAACCAAATACTGACAAGCATGGGTGGAGGATATAACAGGTCAGGAAAATGTTGCTGCTGACCTGTTGCCAGATAATGGGACTGCAGTGGCCCCTGCTTCCTGGAGAACCCAACCACCTCCTTCGCTCCATCACCCACCCCTAAAGGTCCCGGCTGCTCCCTGCATCCTTCCTCCTCGGGATGGGGAAGAGTGAAGAACAACGTGGGGAGCCAATTAACTGAGGAAGCCTGGCTGCATGCAGAGGGGGCTGACAGTTCAGCGGAGGGAAGGGAGGTTTCAGGGCAGGAGGAGCTGGTGCTCAGAAAGGCTGCTGGCTCAGCCTGGCACCAGGGCCAGCCCAGTGCTCAGTGGGACCAGAAGCTAGGTCTGGTGCTGGGAGGACTGAGGGTTCAGAGGGGCTGGTGACAGCTCAGCCTGCTGTGGCTGCAGTGAGAGGGCCAGAGCTCCTCTGGAAGTGGGGGGGGTGTCTTAGGGCAGCTGTGGCCAACTCGCGGCTCACAAGCCACATGCAGCTCTTCCCCCCCTTAAAGTGTGGCTCACGAAGCATCCCCCGTGGCTCGTGAAGCAGCCCCTGAACCTCTGGAAATGGCTTCCAGTCCCCCGAGCTCACTGGGGAGCCATCCTCCTGTGTGGTGAAGCAAAATGGTGCCGGTCAATAGGAGCCTGATGTGGCCAAAAAGCCAACCTGAGGTTTTTCTAAAGGGACAGTGTCTTTTTTTTTTTGGCTCAACTAAACATGGCTGGGGCTCTGGTGTTGGATAGAAATGATTTAGTTGTTCTTTTTTTGAACTGATGCTAGGTTGGGATGGGCAATAGTTTTTAAAAAGGGGCCTCTTAATAAATTTCTGAAGTGGCCCTGGGCCCCCTGGAAGAGACAGGACCTTGGGTGGAAGGGATGGGGCTGGCAGGCTAGCCTCCCTAAAGCAGGAGTTCACCCACCACCCATGACTGACAAGTAGCACAAGTAGGGTTCATACAAAACACTAAGTCTAAATATGCAGTTTTATTATAGCCAAGTTGGCCCCAGGATATCAGACTGAAAAGGTAAGAGAAGTAATATCTTTTACTGAACCAACTGCTGTTGGTGAAAACCTTCTTTCAAGGTTACACAGAGCTCTTCTTTGGCTCTGTGTAATTTACCTGTGCATGAATACTTTTCACAGTGTGATCACTTTATTTCTGACCTATCATTCTTTTTAGGTGACAATTGAAGGAACTATCCCAGAATACGTCAACAGAGGAGATTTGGGAACAAATTGATAAATCAAACAGTAATAAATCACCAGAATCTGATGGTATTCACCTAAGAGTTTTGAAGGAAAGTACAGAAGATAGTGTTTAAATCAGCTTCTATTCCAAATGTCTGGCAGACAGCTAATATAATGCTGATTTTCAAAAATGTCCCAGGAGCGACCCTGACAATTACAGGCCAGTAATCTTAACTTCAGTACCAGGCAAATTGGTTTAAAATATGGTAAAGAACAAAATTATGAGACACATAAATGGACATAATATGTTGGAGAAGAGTTGAACATGGCTTTTTGTAAAGGAATATCACTCCTCAGAAGTCTATTAGAATTGAGCGAGTCAACAAGCATGTGCACAAGGGTGACCTAGTAGATATAATGTACTTTCAGAAAGCCTTTGACAAGGTCCCTTAAGCAAAGTAAGGAGTCATAGGATAAGAGGGGAAGATCTATTGAGATAAGTAATTGGTTAAAAAAAAACAAGAAATGAAGGGTAGGAAAAAATTATCAATATTTACACTAAAGAGAGGTAAACAGAGGCACCTCCCAAGGATCTCTAGAGGAACTTGAGCTATTCAACATATTCATTAATGACCTGAAAAATGAGTGAGCAGAGAGGTGGCAAAGTTTGCAGACTATTCAAAATTACTGTTAAGTTCAAAGTTGACTGTGAAGACTTACAAAAGGGATCTGACAAAACTGGATAACTGGGTGACAAACTGACAGATGAAATTAAATATTGGTATGTACAAAAGCAATGCATATTAAAAAAAATATTCCAATATGCTTACACAATGATGGGATCTAAATTAGCTGTATCTCTTCGGAAAGATCTTGGGAAGAGTAAGGGAGAGTAAGTTTTTCTGTTTCAGCTACCTTAGCCATCATCTTCCCTAAGGTTTCTCAGTGTTTTCCAACCTCAATTTTTACAGAGTCCAGCAACAGTATGCCATGCCATCTTAGCCACAGTTTTACTAAAGAATTTATGAGAAAACGTACTGGAGATGAATAAGTCATCCAGTGAATCATCTAAAATAAAACAAAAGCCACAACTGTATTTACTACAGAATGAAAAGGTGTCTGTAATGGTTATGTCCTTTTTCTAGGTTGTCTTAAGGTCATGAACCAAGCTAGCACAGTTCAAAAAAAGAAAAAACAAGACTATGATGCTGACATATCTCCATGTCAGCATAGAGACCACATTAAACAGAGAAATATTAATAGAGTTTAAAACTAATGTAGTAGAAATGCTGAGATGAAAAAAGGCTCACTGCTGTCAGAAGACTGTCTCTCTCTCTCTCATATCAGAAAACAGCTGTTATTCCCTCAAAGGCAGAAATTCCAGCAGCATAGTCATAAGGTAGGTACTTTTAATTGTAATTGGATAGTACAGCAACTACCTATAATCTCCACAGTGGATACCTTAATTTAATAGCGACAGGCACTATTTTAGCTGTTAAACCTCCTCAGAGTATACAAAATTACCATACATATTATGAATAAGTCAGTGGCCTCTTCAATTCCTGACCGTGAGTTTCTATTATCACATTATACTGTACGTTTGAACAGTTTATTTTTGTGTGAGGATACTAGAGTACAAAAAGCTAGAGGCATAAATCATATATTTGTAAGCACATGACAACACAGTCAGCATTCAAAGATATTAGATCAAGCAAGTTCACCTCTTTTACAATGATGCGTTAGGCATTGCATACCAATTTCATTACCTTAAATATTTTAACCCTAAATGCATAGTAATTTTCAGCTTAAAAAACACCTAATGGCCAAATTCTGCCTTCAGATATGTAATTCCTAGTTTTAATAGGAATCCTACTGACATCACTAGGAGTTGCACAGATAAATCCAAGGGCAAAATTTGTGTTCAAAATTATGTAATTGTTGTATTATGCTCTTATTATTAGAGATCTGCAACAGATGTTTTCTTTCATTGTAAGTATTAAAACAAAATGGAAAAGTAGTTATAAGACAACTTTCTGTACATAGGAGACCACAGAGTATGACAAGACTATAGCACATTTTCAGATATCAAAACAAGAGTAAGTTACCATTATCCTGACATAGAGCACATTAGTGGCCTTTTTATAGTGGCAACTAGAGTCTATTTTATGCTATATTCTTTCTACAAATCTGACATTTTAGTGAAAGCAAATACGGGAATAAACCTTCAAATTTACATTCTTAAGTTTAGCATGTGGTTGTGTTGCTCAAAAAGCAAGACATACATTATCTACTGCATAACAAAATATAAGATTATTTTTATATCCACTTACTGCAATCTCTCTACAGGCCGACATCGATATCCCTGTACCTTCAATTTGCTTCAGTGCATACTCCTTTTCATCTTTTCTGTACACAAAACAAAAATAAGGAATATTTTATAGCTCTCATTTATATTCTTTAAACTGATAAATGCAAGCACATTATATTGATTTTTGTCTTCTTAGATCAAGACACTGAAAACACTAACTTCTTTCTGCTGTAATTAATTAATTAAGGAAGATCAAAAGGAATTAGACCATCTTTAACCACTGTCACAATCAAAACTAAAAAACTGAACATTTTTATAAGGAAAAGCAGTCAATCTACAGTACGTCTCTTGAAAACATATGCATACAAACAAAAGATGTCTGCCAGAGTCTCTCAAGGAGATATAGGAACAAACCAAATGGCTCAAATCCCAATAAAATTTTAATAGTCTACTTCTAAATTAAAACCTTTAATACATCACTGAAATAATATTAAACTCACAATGCAAATTTTTAAAAGACAGTTTTCCTCATTATACTGCAACAGATCTAGCAAACTCTTTGTTAGGTCCTCATCCCTGACGGTTTCAAATTTTATATACTCTGTATGGTTCAATGCTAAAACCTAGAATCAGAGCTCTTCCCATTGAATAGATCATCATGTATTTAAAAGAGCATTTAAACTGTGGCTCCCCTAGGCTGGAAATGGCGAACCTGAGTCAATGGGAACCATAAGGCTCCATGGCTACAGAGACTTCAGATAAACAAACTGGAGCGGTCCACTACCTTTCTTAAAGCGGGCCACTGATTTAAACCACCATAATATAGGTACTTGATCAAAGGGTTGGCTAGTAAAAGTAGAGAACAACTAGAAGGTCAAAATTGAAGATACAGCAGTCTCACCAAGTCCCACTCATGCATCAACTTAATCTATTTACTGTCTGAATTTAAGGTTACAATTAGCTTCCATAATGTTTTTTGCACTCCTGTATCTTTGATTCAAAATTTGTTCAGCTTGAAAGCTGTCAGATCTCTTCTTTTAAAAAGGAGAATTTGAAAAGTTACTGAGATTGGAAACTGAGTTTTATCTAACTTGGTCTCACCCTAACTCAGAAGTGGATTGATTACTACTCCACCTTCAAACCAACTATCTTGATGCATCTACAGACTTGCATGCTACTTAGGATTGAAAATACATTGTAACAAAACCAGAGTTCTTGATTTTCATGGTAGGTAACTTGGAGGCAACCCTGCTCTATTTATTTCAACAACCGAGTCTGGTTCACTTGGTTTGTTTATTTTTGCCATTGCCTTCAGCAGAAGGAAGATTAAGCATCTCAAAATATAAATCTCTCTTTTACTGGGAAATTTAGAAATAACAAAAGTCTTTCTGTAGATGAAAGCTAACACTTTCCTTTATTTTAAGCAATAAAGGCCCAGTTCAATAATTTTTGCAATTATTGTACTGGGGTTCTAATTTAGTTTACTATGGAAACACAGCAGCCTCTTCATATAAGGGATGTAATTTTAATACCATTTCAAAGACTTCACTCTCCATCAGTATTATAACTGCAAAATAACTTTCATTATTTCTGCAGTTTTAAATTGACTCACCAAGAACTAGAATGTTTTTTGAAATCTAAGTACTTTGTGAGAAAAAAAAAATCTGAAGTTGTAATCTCAAAGTTTAATATTTATGTCCTTTAAATCAAATCAAACATTACAAAGTTTGAAAACACAATTAACTTTTGACTTGGGACTTGGCATGTAATTTATTTTGCTGTTATTTTTTTTAAAATATAAATAATATATATATAAACAAACACACACACACATACACCATGGATTCTGTAATTTCCACTCCAACTCATCTGATGCAGTGGGTTTTACCCACAAAAGCTCATGACCTAATAAATGTGTTAGTCTCTAAAGGTGCCACGGGACTGGTCATTGTTTTTCAAGTTACAAACTAACACAGCTATCCCTCAGACTTTTTGCCCATATAACAGACATTCCATTCCTGTCAAATATTATGAAATGTATATATCTCCACAATCTTAACTCACACAAAATACTATTTTTTATAAATTTCAAAATATAAACTTTTCTTAAGAAAAATTATATCTGTACCGACTAATGCTATGTTCAGCTTGATATACAAATCCATATTCATAGTTTTATCACAAACTCGTGTTACACGTCTAACAGAAACAGCAGTTTCGAGATCTTCACCAAAATACTGGCAACTGACAAATTTTAGCTATTATTTCCTGTGTAACAGTATCCCTTCAGAGAAAACTAAAAGAACGAAAGCCATTTAAAAACCCAAAATTCCATGAGTTAGTTAAGAGTGTTGCACTGTAATAAAACACATGGTTTTATATACTAGATAAGAAATCTTATGCTGGCCATGCAAACATTCTTATGTCCCTATATAGCCATTTCCATGCTTTTAAATGTGGAGGTTCATTTAATGAAAACAACATGTCAACAAACTGCTTGATCTTTAGTGACCTAATTTTTTTTCTTAAAAATTACTTAATAGGGTTACCAGATGGTTTAACGAAAAATACCAACCCTCCCCCCCCCAAAAAAAACTGGGAAAAAATTCTATCAAGGAAAAATAAAGGAGGAGACCAAAGTTGTCAAGGGGAAAAAAGCCCCTTTAAGACAGCCACCATATTGGGCACCATTTTTAAAACCCTGTAGCTCCCAGCTCCAACCCAGTAACCACAGGGAAGCTGCGGGCGGCGTTGCAGGACTGGCGGGCGCTGGCTGAGCTGGGCGGGGCCGGGGAGCTGGACCGGAAGGCAGGCGGCGTTGCAGGACTGGCGGGGCCTGGCCGAGGTGGCGGGGGCCGGCGGCGGCAGGGGGCGGGGGCCATTTTGGAGGGGGCAGCACAGGAGCAGCTTCATGAGCCGCACTTTTGCAGGGCAAGAGCCACATGAGGGCAATGGCTGGTGTTGAGGGAGGCATCACGTGGCCAGCTCCCGGGTCTCTGCTGGTCACATGGACCAGAGCAGCGTGCGCTCCACTCCCACTCCATCCCGGCGCCCCCCCTAGCGTGGCACCCGCGGGGGCCATTTTGGAGGGGGCAGCACAGGAGCAGCTTCATGAGCCGCACTTTTGCAGGGCAAGAGCCACATGAGGGCAATGGCTGGTGTTGAGGGAGGCATCACGTGGCCAGCTCCCGGGTCTCTGCTGGTCACATGGACCAGAGCAGCGTGCGCTCCACTCCCACTCCATCCCGGCGCCCCCCCTAGCGTGGCACCCAGCAAGTGCCCCTTCTTGCCCCCACCTTCGCTATGCCTCTGCTGCGCTTCTCACCCCCACCAGATGTGGCAGAGGAAAATTGTCCCCACCGGACTTCTGTCTGTTGGAAACAGGAAATATCAGACATTTCACATGTCCGGTATTTCCTGTTTTTCTTTACCAGATGGAGCCTGCAAATACCAGACTGTCCGGGTGAATACCAGACACCTGGCAACCCTATTACTTAAATATTTGAATGTGTGTTGCTAGAGCATACACAGAAGCAGTTCTAATGGACTATGTAATATTAAGAGTCAAATACATTGGTATCCCTGTAGTATGAATATCCACAAAGGTGTTGTGAGATCTATGAGGAACAATACGAGTGAAGTTTTTAGTGAAAGAGAGGAGCAAGAATGTTCTTAATTCACTCCACAAATCTAAAGAGTAATGCAAAAGGCCCTTATTCTGTAGTTCTGCGGTTTTTCAACAATCCAAGACATGACAACATATTCATATATAGACATTTAACTATTGATGATAAACCCCTTAGCTGTAGGGTTACCAGGTGTCTGGTTTTGAACCAGACAGTCCAGTATTTGAGCTTTTTGTTCGGGAAACAAATTGAGAAAATATAAATGTCCGGTATTTTCTAAATAAGATGTAATGTAGATCATGATGTAATGTCAAGTGTGTCTAGTATTTTTGTTGAAACCATTTTTGTTGTAACCCTACTTAGCTGCATGGGTGGTAGTTATTGTACGTAGGCTGTGCCTCTCCAAACAAACTAGCATGGCTGCACCTATGCTTTACCCCCAGGCCAGGTCCCCTCCTCCAGTTCTCATCACTCCGCCCTGATTCAGGCCTCCCGCAAGGATTCAGGGGTGGTTGGTGTTATGGCTGTGCTGCCTGCTTGGCACTCAGACAATGCCACCCAGTCCCTCAGACAAAGTACTGCAGTCACGCCCCCAGTGCTTTGAGTCTGGGAGTGCTGTAGAGCTCTGCCTACCAGTCTGGGCCTGGTGGGAATTAGGAGTGCTGCAGCCCTACTTCCCAGAGCACCGAGACTGGAGGCACTCTGGCTTTGCCCCCTAGCTGGACAGTGCTGGAACTAGGGTCTGCACTGGCAGTGCTTGGGGGCCCTGAGGAGTGGGGGGAGAGGGGAGCAGAAAGAGAGTGGAGGGACCAAGGGTTAGCCTCCTCCAACAGCCAGGTCACAAGCCCGTGATTAAATAGTTATAGCACAATTCCATTAAAGATGTTCTATAAACTAAGCTTTGTTTTAAAGTGTCTGCTCTTGCAGCCTACTAGACATTTACATTTATGAAGTTTTAAAATTCTCATATTCAAGACTATGGGGATTAAGAAGCTTCTGGTTCCAAGGGTGTTATCAACCTTATTTTATGAAAACATAAAAGCATTATAACAAGCTGAACTACATGAGACTTGTATCCTGCCTTGAAACTTTCCTGGCTCTAGTCTTTGCATGCTGTCATGGGGAGCATCCAGATGCAAAAAAGTGATCGATAGGAGGCTCTTTCTACTGTAAAATGCCATAGCAGGTGTAGTGTCCAAGTTGACCTCACAACTTGAAGTTTCTGACCATCACTAGGCAAAATCTAGTTCTGTATGTTTTCAAGGTCAATAGTTCTTAATTTGCATGGTAGACACAGTACTCCTTGCAGAAAAGCAAAATACAACTTTATGCTTTCCTCTTGGTGCCATTTTCACTTTGCATTTTCCTCTTACAAGTCCAAAACCAAGTTACTTTCAAAATGTGCACCTCAGAAGAACACACGACTTAAAATCTTTAACACATTTCAGAGCATTGTAGAACTATTTTAGAAC